CTAAACTAAACTAAACTAAACTAAACTAAACTAAACTAAACTAAACTAAACTAAACTAAACTAAACTAAACTAAACATAATTAGCAAGCTGAACGCTAGACATCTTCACGGAAAACTTAAGGATTGGTTAGACCAGGGAAATTTGAGAGCGGATGAGCAGGCTGGCTTCAGAGAGGGTAGAGGAACGACTGAACAACGTTTGATTCTCCAGCATCTGATTGAAAAATATTGTACCAACAAGATCATTGTATGCTGCATTTAAAGACCTAAAGGCAGCTTTCGGCTCTGTATCTAGGACCAAGCTGTGGGAGGAGCTGGAAGCCGCTTCAGCAGACAGCAGGCTCCTCCATTTAATTCGTGCTCTATGTTCCAGCACGGTCCTTAAGGTCAGATGTAACAGGCAAGGATCCCTTTCAAAGCCGATTAAAGTACAAAAGGGGGTGAAACAGGGTTGCATTCTGACTCCTCTACTTTTCAACTTTATATTAACGATATGGTAAGATGCCCAAATCACCCGGATTTTCACCCCCCCAAATTAGGGGACCAAAGTATTGCCTTGCTGCTTTACGCAGACAATGTGGTTATATTCTCCAGGACACCTATAGGCCTTAACAGAGCTTTGAGAACTCTGGCCCAATACTGTACTAACAATCAGCTGGAAATAAATTATCAGAAAACCAAGATCGTGGCCTTCGCTAAAAGGCCGAAATTCCGTCCCTGGGATATAAACGGACACAGAATAGAACAAGTGACTAGCTTCAAGCATTTAGGTGTAGTTATGCACACTACGGGATCGAGGAAAGCCCACTGTGATTATGCTGCCGGTTCTGGACAAAGATCAGTGAATGCCATCCTAAAATTCTTCCGGTGCAAAGGAGAGTGTCATGTACCAGCGGCCCTTAAACTCTCCCAGGCTAAGCCGTTAGCCCAGCTCCTTTACGGGTCTTTCGTTGGCTCTCCAACTTCAAGTATGATGTCCCTGGGAAGAGCCCAATCCAAACTGATCAGAGCGGCCCTCCAAAGGCCCAGATGTGTGCCAAATGCTTATCTTCGACTGGAAGCAGGTATGGTAAAAGTTGAGGCAAGAGTGCACCTGGCTTCCCTGAACCTTTGGCTAAAGCTCAAGCGTTATCCTCACGGTTTAGCGCCACTTATCTTTCAAGATAATTTCCTGGATCTTCCTGGAAAAAGGACATTGAACTTAGTCTCTCAAAGCTAGGATTTTCCAGGACTCTGATTCTGAGGATGGAATATGAACAGGCCAAATTGGCCTTGAAGCAAAGGACAAGAGATACAGAGCACCAAGCGGATTTAGGGAAGGCTCCTTCCTTCCTATCCCCAGTGTACAGCAGATTTATCGTCACTGCTGCTAACTACCTTACTCAGCTTGAAATTCCTAGTCATCAGAAAGCTTTTTCCTTAGCCCAAAGCCATGCTCTCCCCTCTGCAGCGCTGGATGGCAGATACGAACAAATCCCATTCGCGGCAAGGCAGTGCTCTTGTGACATTGGAGAGGTAGAAACTACAGACCACGTTCTTCTTCGTTGTCCTCTTTATAAAGAGCTCTGGAGTAAATTCATTTTACCCTTCCTCAACAAATATCCTGGGCGTAAAGATACAGACTATAGGCAAATGCTACTCATAGGTGAACAGCCAACTGTTACAGCACAGGTAGCCAGGTTCTGCGCAGCTGCAGTGAAGCTCCGTCAGACGATGATGGGAAAATTGCGGCAACATACCCTACTGTATACTTTATATATTATATTTACTTTTACTCTTATATATGCTTATAACCCACAAAATACTAGTTATTATAATATAAATTAATAAGATTGTATTTAATTTTGATTAAGGAGCTCATTTAGATTGTGATATAAATGCATTTTAATACTAACTGGAACTTGTAATTTTAAATCTATTTGATTTTAGTTGGTTTATCACTTTTTAGACTCAAGGTGTATGCTTTATAGAATTGCCGCTTGTACTGGTCAGTGACCATAATAAAATTTATTGATATTGATACTGAGTACCTGGATGAGTCCTTCCCCAGCTCCCAAAACCCCCAGCCGCCCGAGACGTCCCAAGACCCCCAGAAGGGAAGAAAGGCTGCCTCGGAGGCCCCAAACAATTCTTTAGGCTGCAAAGTTGGAAGAAAGCCGTGTGGGACTGCCAGGAAAACAGGAGGGCCCAGGGCACAGACAGCGGGGCACGTTAACACGCATGAGTTGAAGAGAGCTCAAAAAAGTTGTCCGTTCCTGTGCCTCACATTCAAATGGTTTCTCTGAGAACCAGGAGAGCATCATGCTGGTTGCAGTCATTTTTACACCAAAAGATCACAGGACGCAGCTTTTCACAGATTAGAAATATACTGCATTTGTCACAGCCATGGCACTACATTTTAGCTCTAGAGAAAAATACTCTTTTAGAATCTGAATTGTCATGGAATAACCTCTGTCCCCATCACCCACCACAACTCGACCCCTGGCTTTCCTCCACGGAGGATACTCTTGTGCAGGGAACTAAGAATGTCCCCCTGTAGCTGGCGGAGTCATTGGGAAAAAACGGCCTTGAAACACGAAGTCTGTTTTGGACGTTGCTCTGCCTAGATTAAGCCACAGAATACGCCACACTGGTGTTTAACACTAGCTACCGCTGAAAACAAAGGGATCTGCTGAAATACCCAACCCCCCAACTGGTCCTTTGAGACCCAGATTCCCAGTCTGCAGCACACCAAGAATCCCTCAAAGGAACCCGACCCCCCCCGATGAGCACTGTTCAAAGTATATTGGGGGGGGAACCCTCAGGAAGGAAAAGGATGATGTCCAGATGCTACTTGGAAGTTGTAATTTTTTTGCATGCAACTTGGACAACTAAATATCTTCTTCTAAGATGCAACTCACATCAAATGGGGCCAGGATTAGGACCGGAGAAAGCCAGTAGTCCGGACGCTCCCATCTATGGAATCACTGGGATCCATCTGAGCGGCTCCTGCCGATCTGCTAGGCGTCCATAAAGGTCCATGGCGGATATTTCCACCTCCAAACTCTACTTATCCCAGGTTCCAATGTGGGATAAGGTTAAACAAGATGCCAGCTTTCCTGACATGGTACTCAGGCCTTTTGACGCTTGTCTTCTCCTATTCACTTGGGGAGGAGAAGAAGGGCATTTTCCACTGAGCGACTAACGGATGCTTGCGTTCTTGAAGGCTTCGGTTCCTGAAGGTCCGCTGGAAGCCCATTGCTCTCAGCACACAAGGGAGCCGAAGCGGACATCCGCGCAATCCTCCTTGTGACTCACCAGCGCAAACAGCAACAGTGAAAGCACACGCATCTCCACTCTCCACCACAGATTTATCAGCCAATTTGTTTCCATTTCAGTCTGTGCGCCCGAGGAGACAGATTCACATGCTGGCAGATTTAGACAGAAGCTTAGCTGTCTTTCAAACTAGCATAACCTGCTCAATAAAGCATTTAGGATGGTATTATGGTTAAGACTTTGTGATGGAATGGAATTATGAAGGCCAAGCTCAGGGAGATAAACATTTTCTTAGCT